GTTTTATGATGAACAAAAAACAACGCTAGAATTTTTGTTTCAAGTTTTGTAAACTAAACGGCATTATCTGGAAAATATGGTTATTATAAGCTATGTTCAAGGCGATCTTGAAAATATGGTTATTAGCTATGGTCAGGTGAAATGAAGAATATGGTTATTAGCTATGGACAGCGATCTGGAAAATATGGTTATTAGATATGGTCAGGCGATCAGGAAAATATGGTTATAAGCTATGGTCAGGCGATCAGGAAAATATGGTTATAAGCTATGGTCAGGCGATCAGGAAAATATGGTTGCTATGGTCAGGCGATCAGGAAAATATGGTTATATGCTATGATCAGGCGATCAGGAAAATATGGTTATTTGCTTTGGTCAAGCAGTCAGGAAAATATGGTTATAAGCTATGGTCAGGCGATCAGGAAAATATGGTTATAAGCTATGGTCAGGCGATCAGGAAAATATGGTTATAAGCTATGGTCAGGCGATCAGGAAAATATGGTTATAAGCTATGATCAGGCGATTAGGAAAATATGGTTATATGCTATGATCAGGCGATCTGGAAAATATGGTTATTTGCTTTGGTCAAGCGATCTGGAAAATACGGAAATTTGCTTTTGTCAGGCGAACTGGAAAATACGGAAATTTGCTTCTGTCAGGCGATCTGGAAAATATGGTTATTAGCTATGATTTTCAAAGATATTTCATATTTATAAAAATAAAGATAAAACTTAGGGTCAATTTCCTGGAAAAAACGTTCTCATATGTTAGTTAAACTATGTTTTACAAGAAACAAAAATATCTTTCTAACCGATACACATTTCTGTGGCCCATATGAATTTGGTCCCATGTGACAAGGGCAGACCATGGTCTGATTATGGTAGGCAGTGTTTGCTAAACAGTCCGTATATATAGATATTTTGAAATTGTCCCCGGAAATTGATGAATGGTTTTATCCAGACTGAACAATTAAAAAGTACATTTGAGCCGTGTCATGACAAAACCAACATAGTGGGTTTGCGACCAGCATGGATCCAGACCAGCCTGCGCATCCGCGCAGTCTGATCAGGATCCATGCTGTTCGCTATCAGTTTCACTACTTGTAATAGGATTGGTAAGCGAACAGCATGGATCCTGATCAGACTGCGCGGACTGGTCTGGATCCATGCTGGTCGCAAACGCACTATGTTGGTTTTGTCGTGACGCGGCTCATTTAAGATATTTAGCATTGTACGGGTTGATAGATTTTCCTAAACATTAACACTTGTACTTACCCGACTTTAAAATGCTGCAGAAAATGTCCACATTCAGATCTCGGAATCCGGCGATCATGCAAGCTTCACTGAACTGGCTTATTACTTTAGTTAATGCAACGGAGTAATGCTTTCCGGAAGGGTAACGTGATCTTAACAAAAACTTTATAGATTCTGCCAATGACATTTTCCCTGTTATTGAATAGAGCTTATCACATAAAGACTTGACATCTAGGTATTCTGCAATGTAGATGAAATCATTGATCATCCCAGGGTGAATATATACTTTCCCGGAGTAAAGGTATTCTATGAACGCCGCAAATGCTTCCACACTGACTCCAAATACTTTCACTTGAATTGGAATCTTGACTGGCCTGCTATCGTGCATGAGCAAATTTCTGAAGTAGCTACTGTGACAGCAAAGAACGATCCTGTGCGCCATGAAAGGGGTACCATCAACGTCGATAATAACGTCCATAAACTTATCTCCCCTGTAAAGGTACTGCATATATTTTTCAAGAGTCGAGTAATGAACTAGTTGTCCCACAGGCGCAGACTGAAGCTTCTGAATGACCCTGTCATTGGGTCTTGGTTTCACGTCTGGTGTTTCGATGAACTGCGTGAGATCAACTAATGTCTTGAAAGCTTTAAGTCTATGTGCGTTGCGATCTAAGTACAGTAACGTGCATGGTAAGTCCCCATTGAAAAGTTCATCAAATCTGGCGAAATCTCGGGTTTCCTCACTCCCAATGGAATCTGTAAAACATGGCAGGATTTTCAAAATTCTTTATTTAAAAGTTAGATATGTTCCTGAAATTACTACACTTTTGGTTTATTAACATGCATAGATTAAAAGTAGCACAACAGGGGACCTCTGTTCAAAGCATATTTCGGGAGACTATTGATTTTCTTTTGATTTATAAGAATTGTATCGGATCGAACTCGCTTTCCCTGCATTAGAAGTTAGGCGGTGTTACCAATGGACTACTTAGCCCGCTCCTTTGTGAGTATCAAGTACGGTTTTACTTGACAAGAAACAAACACAGAAAGCTATCACCATGTATCAAGGTTAGGTGCAAGAAACCAATTTTGCCTTTAACCTAATCATCTTATACAATATACATGTACTTTCTTTTAATATTCACGACAATATGATGTTAAGCAATTTCATATAGAAAGTCTGCTACCTTTATAATCCAAGTTATTTTTTCTTCCAACCAAAAGTCTCATTTTATTACAAATCATCTATTGTATACGGTGCCGGCACAAAGGTGACATGTGTGTATTTTTATTTATCTCGTGGCCACGACATAGTCGTGGGCACGAGATGCTATGTCGTGGCCATGAGTTACTAAGTCGTGGCCACGAGATAGCTAAGGCGTGGCCACGAGATACTATGTCGTGGCCACGAGATACTATGTCGTGGCCACGAGTTACTAAGTCGTGGTCACGAGATAGCTAAGTTGTGGCCACGAGTTACTAAGTCGTGGCCACGAGATAGCTTAGTCGTGGCCACAGGATACTATGTCGTGGCCACGAGTTACCTAGTCGTGGCCACGAGATAATTAACCTACAGTATATATATATTATGAATTTATTTAAAGTCGTGGCCACGAGATACTATGTCGTTGCCACGAGTAACTAAGTCGTGGCCACGAGATAGCTAAGTCGTGGCCACGAGCGAGATAATTAACGAATCAGAATACACTATATATATTTTATGAATTTTTTAAACTGAACAACTTTCTTTTACATGCAACATTAATCTTTGAAAATACTGAAGATATTCACTGTGAACTTGTCTTTAAAATCATATTAGAAAGTCACCTTGCAAGACCCATCAGACATTAATTTTGACTATAGCCCTTTTTTGGGACAATTTTGTGATCGAATTGGTCAGTTTGTACGTACTTCGGCCTGTTAGCCTTGTTTATACGATAACATGAGAAGGAAGATAAGTCCTGGTTTATTTTATTTGGAAGGGACATTGCGCATGGACAGTAGATAGCCTTTAAGGTAAAATCCTTGTCTGTTGAATAATTTAGAAGGGATAAGCCATGGTTTATATAACCCAGAAAGATCATTGCACCTGATCAGTAGATGACATCTAATAATTTCGAGGTCATTGGGTCAAAAATCAGGGTCAGTGACGCTAATTGTAAAATTATTGACCAGTTAATAAGTTGTATAAATGGCACTTTTACAGGCTGGTGTAGTAGGGGCATCCTTGTACTTTAGCACATGTATGTCTAGTTAATTAGGGAAATTCATACAAACGGTGTTATCTGATTGGTTATTTATCTCTTGGCCACGACTTAGCTATCTCGTGGCCACGACTGTGTTTGGATAGACGAAAGGTAAAAACACGTACACCCATATTCCACACTATCAGGGGGCCTTGGTAACAAATCAGGAATCAAATTTCTCAAAAACAAACCATGTTTTATAAATTCTACTTTAAAATTTGAAAAAATTAAAGATGTAATATGTACATGTACAATACAACACACACATGCATACGCACGCACACAAAGTACTTTTTTGATGTAACTCAGATATTTTTTATTTCATACTTTTTTTCTAGAGCTAGTTTGTTCCAAAAGGAAATTGTTATCATTTTGAAATAACATATATCAAAATCAGTGAGTTATAGGTTTCATAAAAAATAATTTCAATTTCAAAATAACTTAAAAGGCACTTTATTTTAGAAAGGTCAAATATGCGTATTATAAACGTTTTTAGAGCATGTTAGATGTTAATTATTAAAAGAATGTAAGACTGAATGGTTTGTCATAAAGGTAGCAAAATGTAAGCAAAGTAGTATTTACTCTTCTTGCGGCTCCGGTTAATCGGTACGTCCGACAAATGACGTAAACGTGTCCAATAAAGGATCACACGAATCCATTATTGACTTTTCCTTTGTATTTATAATTCAAACATTGTAAATTAAAGCTCCCTGTATATAATATTACTTCCATTGATTGAGTCGACACTGGTTATAACAGCGTAATATCGTCACGGTGATAGCGTTCAAGTTAATTAATTAGTGACGTAACGTTATTGTGACGTCATGATTTTTAGAAGCGGCGGTAAATGGTTTGCGTTCTTGCCATTGGTTAATATTACAGCTATATATAGAAACTTCAAAGTCTTTTTTCGGCCGAAGGCCGTCTGATTCCACATTGACTTCCGCTTTAATTAACAGTAAAGAAATGAAAATAGGCAGAATTTTCATTGGTCATTTTAACACTAATAGCCTGTTCGATTGATACTTCAGAAGAGCTTCCGTTATAGGTAGAGGTCTGTTCAAATGCGCGATGGCAAGAATTGTTGGAAAAAGATATAAATCAGAATAAATATAAAAACACAATAATGATATTTTCTAGATGTTTCTAGCAGCTTTTCAATAAATATATGACATTAAATATGACAGATCGCCTTTTTGATACTTTTGCGTTCGATTGGGTTTCTCTTCTAAGCTGTACTAGTCATTATGTTCTCTTCTCGTTTTCGAACCGGGCATACATGTAAGACGATTGAAACGAACTTTCGACTAATTTACAGTTGCAAAATTCTCCGTGGAATTAGTGTACAGTATCTACTGAATCTTTGTTTTATTATAAATTCCTATATATTCAAATCAAATTCCATTTTGATTAAAATTAAATAATGTAAGTAATATTGTTTAAATCTAAGACGACAATTAATCGGGTAAAAATGAACTGAAATAAAACTATTGAGGACGAATAAAATGTTCTGTTTGCGGTTAGCATGGTTAGTAGTAGCTTATCCTATGCAAGTTAACAAGTTTGACTTCGCCCGAGTATCTTTTTAAAGATACTTCTTGTTAACAGTTTTAATATGTTTGCAGTTTTTCTACCTGTTAACTGAAATGTCTACTTTTCTGCTTCTGCAACATTAGAGCTACATAGTTTCAATTCATTTTGTTTCTTTTTTAGTTTGAAGCGCATCTGATTTATTACAAACTAAACTTTTAATCAGAAAAAGCCAATCTCAATTTAAAAGACAATTTATAATGTTAAAATCTTCTTTTACTTGTCATCATTGCAAAGATGTCGGTAAATCATGTCATTAAAAGAGAAAATTAATGAGCCGCGTCATGACAAAACCAACATAATGCGTTTGCGACCAGCATGGATCCAGACCAGCCTGCGCATCCGCGCGGTCTGATCAGGATCCATGCTGTTCGCTATCAGTTTCTCTACTTGTAATAGACTTGGTAAGCCAACAGCATGGATCCTGATTAGACTGGGCGGATGCGCAGGCTGGTCTGGATCCATGCTGGTCGCAAACCAATTATGTTGGTTTTGACGTGACGCGGCTCATTTTATGAGTTTAGGTTCCATGCTGAATTTATTGAACGAGTTAAGAAAAATACATGCATAGATAACATAATGTTATTTTATGCAACGAGTTCAATAAATTCGTAAGGAATCGGCAGGAATAAAATATGTTCTGAATGTTCGTGAAGTTGGCAGCCTGAAATTGGCAGCCTAACAGCCTGGCAGCCTAACAGCCTGGCAGCCTAAAAGCCTAGCAGCCTGGTCAGGCCTCGACATTAGCGGTGGTCCGTTGGTCCGAGACCACCTGATTTTGGCAAGGACCACTTAATTTTAAAATGCACTGGTCCGTCGGACCACTTGAATTTTCTGGTTTGTGCAAGGCTCATTTGGGAGAATGGCGATTTGGTCAAAAACATGTTATATATATTTTGTTTAAAACCATTTGTCCTATGAACATGTATATGGTTCATTAATAGATTAATCTGATAAGTTAAAGAAGGTCTTAAATCATTTTAAGTCGCTAAAATTTTGTCTATGCAAGTTAAAAGAGTTAAGAATTTGTGATATTAAGCTAGGTACAGTTGCATTCAAATGATGCTAGTAATGATGCATCGTCGGATTACCACGGTGGAACCTTTAACATTTATGTTATGTTACATGTTAATCACACGTGGGTATCCGACGATGGTAATTATGATATTGTTTGGGATACCGTATGAACTTTCAATTTCATATACATGAATAATGGCAGCAAACTAAAGGAACTTGAGAAATACATCAAGTTATTTGCTGTTATCTTTATTTAAACTTTTTAACGCTAAGAGATCCATTTTTCCAGAGTTAAAATTACTTTTTTTTTTTTTAAATTTTTATAAAAGGTTAAAAAATACTCGATGTAAATAATAAATATCAACCAACAAGCAACGGGGCGGTAAAAAATTCTGTATTCATAATAAATCTGTGAGAAAAATAAAGCTAAACTATAGTTATATATAAAGTTGTTTTTTATTTTTTATCCTTTAGATATTTCCTTGTTTTTAAGATAATTTATTAGTTTTTATTAAAATGTTAATCTATAAAAGATACAT